AGAAGTCCCAAATTCTCCCCTTTTGGAATGAAACAAACAAACAAACTTCCTACCTTCTTATCCTTTTTTAAGAAGGCAACTAAATTTTGGAAAAAGGGTAGCTAGACTGCCTCCAATATTTAGATGGAGCCCATCAGCACAACACATCTCTTAACGTTTTTGTGTACAATTAAGTACTACATTAAGGTAAAGGTAAAGGTTCCCCTTGCACATATGTGCTAGTTGTTCCTGACTCTAGTAGTTCCGTTTCAAAGCCAAAGAGCCAGCACTGTCCGAAGACGTCTCTGTGGTCATGTGGCTGGCATGACTCAACGCCAAAGGCCCACGGAACTCTGTTCCCTTCCCACCAAAGATGGTCCCTATTTTTTCTAGTTGCATTTTTTGCCTGCTTTCGAACTGCTAATTTGGCAGAAGCTGGGACAAGGAACGGGAGCTCACCCCGTTACGCGGCGCTAGGGATTCGAACCGCCGAACTGCCGACCTTTCGATCGACAAGCTCAGCGTCTTAGCCACTGAGCTACCGCGTCCCTCAAGTACTACATTAGTAACGCATAAAATAAAATGATAAAGACTTTTGTCAACGTGTTTGCCATTTGTGAGTTTGAAAAAGCGCTGCCTGACTCCTCCTGTTTCTGCTAACTTTAAGGAATTTCACTTCTAATAAAAAGAATAAGAACACAAAAGCTTTTTCTTTTTTCCCCCCCCCTCCTTTTTTGACTCTTTGTGTCTCTGGCCCCCATGCGGGCTCCGGTCTTTTTGATTTAGCCCTTTGGCAGTTCCTGGTGTGACTGTTGCCAAGCCGTGGATTCCTTCCCAGCCTGCAGGCAGGATTAAGCACTACACGCTGTTCCTCCACGTGAGACAGGAGGCTTCCAAACGCTCAAAGCCGATGGGCAAAAATAAGAGGGATCACTTACCAGCTCCCCAAAATGCTTCATGGCGTATTCCAGCACCCCAGATGCGGCCTCCGGTTGCTGCAGTTTATTGTTTATGCTGCAAAGAGAAAAGAAAAGGGGGAAAAAAAAGCTCAGGAGCCGTTTCTGTTATAAAACTTATAAATACTTAAGATCGGGGTGAAATCTACTTACTTTCCTTACCGGTTGTGTTGTGCGCGCGTGACCTTCTGTGCATTCGCAAAACCTTCTGCATATGCACAGAAGGTAAAAACACATTACTTCCTGGTTAAAACCAGGAAGTAATGACATCCGAGCTTTGCTCCGCCATCGCTACTGGATTGTGGAACCACCGGCCAAGATCGCTACCGGATCAGGCGATCCGGTCCGATCCGGGAGCATTTCACCCCTGCTTAAGATTGGGAGACATAGCTGCGTTTGCTGGATTCTTGTAATGTTTGTTTTTATTTAAAGGAACTCATTCCTCAACATATTCTCATGTTAAGAAACAATTATGGAAAGCAATGTATTTATTCAGCAACAGTGGAGCAAAGCAAAAAAGATGAAAATTAACAGCTGTTTTAGGGTATTCCTCACAGGTAAAATTGTAAAGGCATAGGGGAAAAAACAATGATGCGTGAAAAGCCACCCTCTCCATTACCGGGGTGCCATCACTGAGAAGGCCCTGTCTGCCGTCCACTACAAAAAACACAAGCCACAAATGTGTGCGTCTCCTTAGTTAGATTTTTCTCAACAAAAGATTTAGAAGTTCAGCTTAATACTACAAAGGTAGTCCTCACCTTACAACAGTTCATTTAGTGACCGTTCGAAGTTACAACAGAATTGAAAGAAGTGAGGTACAGCTGTTTGAAAGCATCCCCACAATCGTGGGATCAAAATTCAGACACTTGGCCATGGGTTCATATTTATGACGGTTGCAATATCCTGGGGGGGAGGGGGTATGTGTCATATGATTCCCTCTTGTGGACTTCTGACAAGCAAAGTCAACGGGGAAGCCGGATTCACTTAACAACCGGGTTACTAACTTAATAACTGTGGCAAGAAATGTCGTACATAAAAGCGGGGAGGGGGGAGAAATCAGCTTAAGAGCTGTCTTGTTTAGCAAGAGAAAATTTGGGCTCAGTTGTAGTCGTAAGTCGAGGACTACCTGTTTTGAGCGAGTGCGTGTTTCAGCTGCAGCTATACACCCTCCTAAATTAAGCACCTGTCCTGCAAGTAAACAGCAGACAGCAGGTTAAAACAAAATGACATCATTGTCCCTCGTTCCCACCTATTCTACTTTTTCCTCTTTCTGACCCCATCAAGTTCCTCTTTGCCTGAAGGATCTCGTCACTCATATTTGAAGGTAATAATAGAACGGAACGGAACAGAATTCTTTATTGGCCAAGTGTGATTGGACACACAAGGAATTTGTCTTTGGTGCATAGGCTCTCAGTGTTCATGAAAAGACAAGATATATTGTCTTTTTTTTTTTTTGTCTAATCCATCCATTGCTTAGCTCGGAGGAGCCAAGATTTTCTCTCTTGTGTTTTGCTAGCCAGGTTCTGCTATTAGCAGCGCCCGGATCTACAAACTCAAGATGATGAGACTTCGTAGAGAAGGGGCCAGCATGAAGATGACAAGAACTCAGTTATCCACTCCCCATTCGAAAAACCGGGTGGTTTTTTGTTTTTTTTTTGTAGTTCCTCAGCTGTCTTTTAGTGACTTGTTATTGATGAAACGGCAAGTTGTGTTTGTTCTGCCTGAAATATGGCTATGGGCAATAAACCCCAGTGGTTCCTTGGGAGTGAGTAAAGATGCTTTCCTTCTTGAGAAGGGGAATCAACAACCTGCTATAAAAATGACGAATGGCTATCGTGTTGAGCTCGACAGCTAGGAGCATCTCAAGCTCTTGCCTGTTGGGCGATTCATTACCTCCTCTGACAAATAGGCCATTATCCTTCCTTCCCCCCCACCACCCACCCTCAAGATCCTTTTCTCTACAATTGTTGCTGCTCCCTGCCCTGGGCTGGCTGGCTGGCTGTCAGAGCGTGCCTTTTCATTTTGTAACTTGTCAAAAGGGAGAAGGAGAGGAAATGCTTTATATACTTCAGACTTGACTGAGCTTAAGTGATTTTACTCTCAAATTCCAGGGAAAGTGGGGGGGGGGAGGGAAGAGAGAGAGAGAGAGAGAAGAAAAAAAGCAAGATGTTGCCATTTCTACATGTAGGATATGAGTAAAATTCAAAAATAAAATAGTATGTAGGTATATAGGTTAGAAACTCATGTAAGTGAAGATTCGATTTTGCTCGGGCAGGGGGTTGGACTGGATGACCTGCAGGGTCCCTTCCAGCTACTCTGTTAAATTTAAAGGCTCTGTTAAAGAGCCTTGGTGGTGCAGCAGACTAAAGTGCTGTTAAATAGCAACAGCTGCCTGCAATTTCTGCAAGTTCAAATCTCACCAGGCTCAAGGTTGACTCAGCCTTCCATCCTTCCGAGGTAGGTAAAATGAGGACCTGGATTGTGGGGGCAATAAGCTGACTTTGTATAAAAAAAGAACACCGCTTAGGAGGGGCCGAAAGCCCTACTAAGCAGGTCTATACAAAAGTATGAAGGCTATTGCTTAACGCATTGTAAGCTGCCTTGAGTCTCCGGAGAAGGGCGGCATATAAATCGAACCAATAAATAAATAAATAAATTTGTTAGACGTTATTCTGCTTTAAGATAGTTGGAGAGAAGACATGCTGAAAGCATACCAATATGTATCAATGCTGTGTTAGAATAGATCTTCTTCGGTTGGAGGCCCGTTAGAAAGAGGCCCACTCTTGAATGCCAAGGCAATAGAGATAAGAAAGAGCCATGCTTGCAAAAAAAATTTATGGGTAGTTATAAGGAGGTGTTGATGAACATGTAATTAGAGAAAAGAGATGACGTTCTCTCTAAAAGGCGCTTCGGATTAGCTATGATCGGTCATTAGAGGGGGTGGGAGGGGGTGTCGGGATAGGAAACTATAAAATGTAATGCTTTCGAAACTTTAGGTGTGGTTTCCGGGTTCAAACTCCTTGTTGAGATCTGCTGGGATATACCCACCCTATTTTGCAAAATTGAGCGCCTTGGTAGTACAGTGGTTTAATGCACCCTGTTATTAACACAGCTGCCTGCAATTTCTGCAGGTTCGAATCTTACCAGGCTCAAGGTCGACTCAGCCTTCCATCCTTTCTAAGGTAGGTAAATTGAGGACCCAGATTGTGGGGGCAATAAGCTGACTTATTATACAAAATATACAAAAGGATGAAGGCTATTGCTTAACGCCTTGTAAACCGCCCTGAGTCTCCGGAGAAAGGGCGGCATATAAATCAAATTAAAAAAAAAATTGTTTTTATTATTTTCCTTTAATAAAGTCTCTTTGTTTTCATCGACCCATGCTTGCTGGTTGAATTCATCTCCAACATACGCCATCCTTTTTTTTTTGGTGCTCTCTAGATTGGTCGACGTTGCGTGGAAACGACTGTTATTTTCGTAATGCTCTTGCTTTGCGAAAGACGGACAGATGTTGAGGAAACCCATCCGGCTCAGGTGTGCGATTTATACCTTTTGAGCTACGCGCTCATAGGCGGGTTTTTTCCCCCCCAAGTGAACGCATCGAACAATATTAGTCCTTTTTCTTCCAATCTTGGTGTTTGTATCCATCAAGAGCGAGACACCCCCACAAAGGAACCTCATAAGCGCTCAATAAGATTGCCAGAGATGCGATCAACGGAAAGCGGGACGTCACAAACTACTGCCAAACCGTGACATTTGCTGGACTTCTTTCATTTTGACAGGACATAAAATTCTGTTATGGTCTTCAACATGCCAGAGATTAATGGTTGGGAAGGCAGCAATCCAACAGGGCATTTTTTTTTCTTCCTGGAAACAATTGTGGTTTCCTCCTCCCCCCCAATCCTTTTCTCCCACCTGAAAAAATAACCCAACTGAAAAGGCGCATTTCAAGCTCAGGATCCCTTCGTATAATTAAAAACAAAATATTCCATCCTGTTCGGTTTCTTTAGTTTCGCCCACGATGGGCAGAATGAAATGGGAGGGCTGCAAGGGGTGGGGATAGCCAGGAGCCACAAATATTTAAAATGGGTGTAAGGAGGAGACACACAGACGCACAAGATACGGCCTCTTTTAGCAAGCACGGACAACGGACTTGTTAAGAGGCAGCGCTGCAGAACCAGAGTTCTGATTCGGAGAAAAACTCTGTTCCAGTGCAATTCCAACAGATGGGGGGGAAACCCTGAATTGACAAGAGAGAGGCTTGGAATTTTTTTAGGCGTTATTGGGAACTAGAGAGGAGAGGGAGGATAGATAGAGAGAAAGAGAGAGAGAGAGAGAGAGAGAGAGAGAGAGAGAGAGAGACGGAGATTGCACGCCACGATCATGCAATCCACCTTCAGCCCCCAACTGGCTTGCTTATGTGCCCTAACCCTCTCCTTCGCGATATATCCAGCGAGGCTGCAGACCCTCCCCAAAAAGACCGCGACGAGCAAGAACGGCAAGGACCCCGGATGTTGCGAAGAACTAAAAAAGCTGAAGGTCCAAGTGGCCAACCTCTCCTCCTTGTTCGAGGAGATGAGCAAGAAGCAGGACGACGTCCTGGGGCACGCCGTCACGCAGGTGATGGCCCTGGAAGGGAGCGTCAAGCTGATGGACGCCCGCCTCAACGACGTGGAAGGGAAGTACTCGGAGATGAATTCCCAGCTCGGCATCGTGCAGCTTCAGGCAGCTCAGACGGTCACCCAAACGTCCACAGGTAAGGAGAGGCTCCCCCCAGCCTTCCCTGAAGGGATCGCTTGCTAATGCAGAAAGAGCAGCCATCGTCACCCAGATATAAAATATATCTGAGTTATATAAAATATAACTGGGACGAAGGGAAGGGGAAGAATTAAGAGACTTAGATGAATCTTGTTGTGGCCCTCCTGGCAGCAGAGTCGGACAGTGAGGAGGTTGGGGAGGAACATGGGCCAGTCCTAGGGGCTGGGGACGGCTCGGACGAGGGCTCTGCGTCGGAGGCAGAGAGGGAGATAGCCACTGATTTTGCTTGTCAGAAGGTCGCAAAAGGCAATCCCATGACCTTGGGACATAGCAACGGTCATAAATATGAACCAGTTGCCAAACATCTGAATTTTGATCCCATGATCATGCAGATGCTGGAAAGGTCGTTAAGCGTGAAAAACACTGTCCTCAATATGGTGAGGCTTGGCCTCAGCCTGGACTGTCAGCACTTCAAGTTGTATTTACTCTAGTGCTGACATAAGAAGGAGAAGTGGAGGCGTCTGGAAAGGGACGTTTGACTTTTCACCTACTTATTTTCCCTGGAGATAATATCCCCTAGGAGATGGGATGGGAGGGGGGAAATTCCTTTGAGCTGGAGCAATAGATTAGGGGTAGAATGACTTGGAAGATGGCCAATGAGTGCAGGGGAGTGGGGAACAGAAAGGGAGGGTTTTGGGTCTGGAAGTCAGTGTTGGCTTCGATGAGTCGGAGGTAGAATGTCGTGCTTAATAAATGGGAATTTTTCTTCAAAGACTTTGTCTGAAATGCAATTTATTTGAGAGGACCTCGAAACCTGACATGGACATTCTCTCCACGCTTCCGAATCACTTTATTCGTTGCCCTGTCCTGAAGAACAATGATAAGAAAGGCCTCGTGGAGACCGCCATCCAACATCTGTTGGATATTCAGACCATCGAGGAGGTCCTGGAGAGCCAAACAGGACAGGGGTTTTACTCCATTCTGTTCCAAAGGCTTCGGGGTGGAGGGTGGGGAGCAATTCTGAATCTAAAAAAATTGAATCTATATCTGGTCTACAAAAGGTTCAAAATGAACTCCCTCCAATCCATCCTGGAGGGGGTTCGGGAGGGCGACTTCCTGGCATCTATCGATCTAACGGAGGCTTACCTCCATCGGCCAATCCTCCCAGCACATTGCCCATTTCTACATTTTTGCTACAAAGGGGGAATCACTATGGCAATGAAAAACAGTGAAAAAGTCACTTTTTTCAGTGCCGTTGTAACTGAACGGTCACTAAACGGACTGTTGTAAGTCGAGGAGGACTACCTGTATTTCCAGCTGGGTTTTGCTTTCATTTGCTGAAATCACAAAACACAGTAAGGTCGACGGGATAGTTGCATGTGGCAACCATATGTCGTTATCAAATTTCTGGAGGCAAAGAAGGACGCGGTGGGCCCCAGGTTTTCCTGACAGGTGGGAATAATTCAACCTACGGCGCTCTTATTTTCTCGTTCAGACGCCGTGTACGACTGCTCGTCCCTTTATCAGAGAAATTACAGATCTTCTGGGGTCTACAAACTTCTCCCTGATGAGTTTCTGGGAAGTCCAGAATTGCAGGTAAGACGTTATAACACGCCGTGGGAAGAGAGGAAAAGCAGGAAGCTATATAAGGTTTAACATTCCTATAGACCAGGGGTCAGCAACCCGCAGCTCTGGAGCCGCATGTGGCTCTTTCATCTCTCTGCTGTGACTCCCTGTTGCTGATCGGCTCCACAATTGATAGGGCTTTCGATTAGGACAGGTAGAGGAAAAAGGATGCAGTGCTAGGAGGAGACTATGATGGCGGAACCGGACTTCCGATCGGCTCCAGAATTGAACGGGGACTTCCGGTTAGGACTTTTGTGGCTCTTTGAGTGTTTAAGGTTGCCGACCCTCTATAGACGTAAAAACAGTGCCTATCTTAAGAGGATTCCCAGTTGTGTACAAACAGCAACAGCTCTACGGGATGGAATTAGGCTTTGGCTACTTCGATTTGCTATTTGCACCTTTCCAAAATGAGTTGCAACTTTTCGGTGCCTTCCCATTCCAGGCAAAGCCACAGTGGCGCAGTGAGTGCAGTACTGCAGGCTACTTCTGCTGTCTGCCGGCTGCCTACAATTTGGCAGTTCAAATCTCACCAGGCTCAAGGTTGACTCAGCCTTCCATCCTTCCAAGGTGGGTAAAATGAGGACCCAGATTGTTGAGAACAATAGGCTGACTCCATAAACTGCTTTTGCTATTTGCTCCACAAGAAAGGTAGGTGAGTTGCTAGAACATGGATCGGCAACCTGCAGCTCTGGAGCCGCATGTGGCTCTTTCACCTCTCTGCTGCGGCTCCCTATCGCTCAAAATATGCGTCAAAACCGCCAATGTGCGACACCCACCAGCACGTGATTTACTGAGCTTTTCAACCCCCAGTAGGCCAACCATGGATAAATCCAAGAAAAGAAAAGTTTCAGAAGAAAACAGAATGTTTAATTCAACAACATAGGCTAGTTTTGTGGCCGCTCAAGAAATAAGTCAGGCACGGGAAGGGTTTTGTGGCTCCCGGTGTTTTCTTTTCTGTGGGAAACGGGTCCAAATGGCTCTTTTGAGTATTTAAGGTTGTAGGCCCCTGTGCTAGAACATATGCTTGAAACATGAAGTTACGCTGATATTCACTGTCTCGGTAAATTACCACCATGCCAGAGTGGTCCTCAACCTTTCTGAATGTCTGAAATCGCTCTTCTTTTCATTTTCATTTTCCCAGGTATACTGTGACATGGAGACAGATGGAGGAGGCTGGACTGTCATCCAAAGGCGGAAAATTGGCTTGATCTCTTTCAGCCAAAATTGGAAGCAGTACAAGGAAGGGTTTGGAAATCTGCAGGGAGATTTCTGGCTGGGAAACGAACACATCCACCGGCTTTCCAAGAGGCCGTCCACATTGCGTGTGGAGCTGGAGGCAAGTACAAGAGCTTCACCTGTCCGGCTGACCTTTCACAAACCACTCGGTTAAGAGGCTGTGGGATGTTGCAGCGTTCAAGAGAAAAGGAACTTGAAAGCAACGAGAAGCACTTAGTGTCAAAGTACTGTAGAAGACCTGGGGTAGCTGTGAAGGGTTGCCAATGGTGGTCTAATAATGCCAGTTTAATCATGGCATGTGTCACTTCAAACTCGAGCAGTGTAGACCACTGTAACTATTTTCCTAGGGCAGTGTTGTGGTCCGCCAGCAGCCTGCGGAGCTGACAGCAGAGTCGGACAGTGAGGAGGCTGAGGAGGAACAGGGGCCAGTCCTGGAGTCTGGAGAAGGCTCTGATGAGGGCTCTGCGTCGGAGGCAGAGATGGGGCCACGGCCATCTGGGAGTTATGTGCAGACTCCGGAGCCTCCAGAGTCGGACATCAGAGAGGCAGAGGAACAGGGGGAGCCTGTTCCTAGCGCACGCATGTGCAGAGCTGCCAGAAGGCAAGAACAGTTAAAACAAAAGGGACGACTTGGGAGTAAGGCTTGGAGATGATTGGCCCCTCCCATAAGGCTTAAAAGAGGAGCAAAGGCATGTGGGCAGGAAAGCAACGTTGTTAATTCTGTTCCCAGTCGGCATCTCTGTTTGATTCTGGACTACGTGTGGCTCTGCCAAGTAGGTCTTTGGCAGCGTGTCAAGGGAGATAAAGGTGGGTCATTATCCTGAAGGACTTCTCCCGAAGGACTTTTTGCAACTAAATGGGACCCAGCTGTGAATGAACGTAATTCACAGCTGTTGCAATAAAAGAGGTTTTTGGGACTACTCGTGTGTTTTAATGACTCAGGAAGCCTAGATCACAACAGGCAGCCCCGGCTAACTGGAGGCACTGAAGTTGTGAATGCTCCAACACTGGAAGTTTTTAAGATGTTGGATAACCCTTTGTCTGAAGTGGTGTAGGGTTTCCTGCCTAAGCAGCGGGTTGGACTAGAAGACCTCCAAGGTCCCTTCCAACTCTGCTATTCTATTCTATTCTATTCTATTCTATTCTATTCTATTCTATTCTATTCTATTCTATTCTATTTCTATTCTATTCTATTCTATTCTATTCTATTCTATTCTATTCTATTCATTTCCTTCCTCAGAGCTTGGTGAAACACCAATATTTCAGGTAAATATTTCCCTGAATCAAGCATAAATAAGGCAGAATGGGACAATTCGCCATAGCCAAATTGCCACAGCCAACTCGCCATGGGACACATTGCCACGTTCAACTCAGAGTGGGCCAACTCGCTGCGGGACAATTTCACAATTCAGTTTAATTATTTTAAATAAATTAAACTAGATTTTGATTTTTGTCACTCACATTCCATTCTGTCCCTTCTTCTTTTGCATCCTTTCTTTAATGATTCTATTCCACCTTCCATCCTTCCGAAGTGGGTAAAATCAGGACCCAGATTGTTGGGGTCAAGAGGCTGACTCTGCAAACTGCTTAGAGAGGGCTGTAAAGCACTGTGAAGCACTATATAAGTCTTAACTGCTATTCCTTCCTCCTCTCCTCTCCTCTCCTCTCCTCTCCTCTCCTCTCCTCTCCTCTCGTCTCCTCCCCTCCCCTCCCCTCCCCTCCCCTTCCCTTCCTTCCCAGTGGATAGAATGCAATATTGCAGGTTAATTCTGCCCACTGCCAGCAGTTTGATCCTGGCTCAAGGTTGACTCAGCCTTTCATCCTTCCGAGGTGGGTAAAATGAGGACCCAGATTGTTGAGGGCAATAGGCTGACTCTGTAAATCGCTTAGAGTGCTGTAAAGCACTGTGAAGCAGTATATAAATCTAAATGCTATTGCTATTTCTTTGTTATTAGTGTAACTTTTGTCCATGGCAGGTTCTCCCACAGTGAGTTGGCCGTGACGAATTGTCACTGACGGTAAATAAGGGGTGTCTCCTTTTGATTTTCTTCTTGCCCTGCAGGACTGGGATGGCAACAGCGTTTTTGCTCAATACAGTCGTTTTGCGGTGGGCAACGAGTTGAGCAGCTACCGCCTCTTCCTGGCCAACTTCAGTGGCAGCGTGCCCCGCGACTCCATGCGGTACCATAACAACACGGCCTTCAGCACCATGGACAAAGACAACGACAAGTGCGTCGATCACTGTGCGGAGTTACGCAAAGGTCAGCCGTGTGTAGTGATGGGCTTCAAATAATTTAATAACCACTTCTCCGCACTAATGACTGGCCGGGTAGGCATGGCCAGGGGGTGTGACAGGCAGCACTCGGCCTCCTGCACCGCCCTGGGAGCAAAAATGGGCCGTGGGGAGGTGCACGCCCCCCCCGTGCCCCGTTTTGGGCCTAGTAGGCCTCCCTGCACTTACCTGGGAGCCAAAATGGGGTGCATGGGGACTCCTGGAAGGGGTGGGGTGGGACCAGCCAGCAATTTAACTACCGGTTCACCCGAACCGGCTGAATCCCACCACTGGCCATGTGCCAAAAACTCCTCCTCTTCCTGTTATCAATGTTTGTTAAGCGGGACCACCGTCCACCTTTGTATTTAAAGAACACTCCCCAAATTCTTCATAGGAAAATCAGTCCGTCCCTTAGCCCAGTTCCACCTGGTTCTTCCGGTTGACTTCTCTTGCCCAGATTCCAGAAGGGCAACTCTTCCTAAGTGTTGATTGCTCCGTTCTTTGAATTTCCCCATTTCTCTTGTAAGCACAAGTAGTCCTTGACGTACGACCACAACAATTGAGCCCAAAATTTCTGTTCCTAAGAGAGGCATTTGTTACATGAGTTTTGCCCCGTTTTACCATTTTTCTTGCCACCGTTGTTAAGTGAATCAGTGCCGTTCTTAAATCAGTAGCACGGCTGTTAAGTGAATCTGGACTCCCCTCTTGACTTTGCTCGTCAGAAGGGGGATCACATGACCCCACGACACTGCAACCGTCATAAATGTAAGTTGCCAAGCGTCTGGATTTTGATCACATGATCATGGGGATGCTGCAACGGTGTGTGAAAAACAGTTGTAAGTCACTTTTTTTCAGTGATGATGTAAGTTTGAACAGTCACTCAATGGACTGTTGTTAAGTCGAGGACTATCTGTAGAGCGTTTTGAGTAGTCTTCCTGCTCCATCACGCTCCATCAGCTATTTAGCAGTGGCAAAAAAAAAAAATACCTTCGCCACGTGGGATGAGTTAAATTGGTGTCATTTTCAATACAGGGAGTCCTCGAAGTACGACCACAATTGAGTCCACCATTTATGTTGCTAAACGAGACATTTATTAAGTGAGTTTACGACTTTTCTTGCCCAAGTTGTTAGCAGTTGTTAAATTAGTCACACAGCAAAAAGAGGAATCACCGGGACACTGTAACCGTCATAAATATGAAGCAGTTGCCGAGCTTCTGAATTTTGATCACATGACCACGGGGATGCTGCAATGGTCATAAGTGTGGAAAGTGTGCCATAAATCACTTTTTTCAGTGCCGTTATAATTTCGAACGGTTCCTAAATGAACTGTTGTTACGTCGAGGATGACTTGTAGTAAACGTTCAGACACCGGCAACGGCCATCTCCCCGATGCTTTGCAATTCGTTGACCCTCGGGCCAGGTGCCAGTGCAGAGATCTGTTGACGATGAGGACCTTTTCAGAAAGATCACTATTTTGTTGTTAGTTGCGAAGTCGTGTCCGACCCATCGCGACCCCATGAACCACGTTCCTCCAGGCCTTCCTGTCCTCTACCATCCTCCGGAGTCCATTTAAGCTCACGCCGACTGCTTCGGTGACTCCATCCAGCCACCTCGTTCTCTGCCGTCCCCTTCTTCTTTTGCCCTCCATCGTTCCCAGCATTCGGCTCTTCTCCAGGGAGTCCTTCCTTCTCATTAGGTGGCCAAAGTGTTTGAGCTTCATCTTCAGGATCTGGCCTTCTAAAGAGCAGTCAGGGTTGATCTCCTCTAGGACTGACCGGTTGGATGGCCTTGCAGTCCAAGGGACTCTCAGGAGTCTTCTCCAGCACCAGAGTTCAAAGGCCTCCATTCTTTGGCTGCTCAGCCTTCCTTGTGGTCCAATTTTCACAGCCAGATATTGCAACTGGGAACATCATAGCCTTGACTGTATGCACTTTTGTTGGCAGGGTGATGTCTCTGCTGTTTAGTAAGCTGTCTAGATTTGCCATAGCTTTCCTCCCCAGGAGCAAGCGTCTTTTAATTTCTTGGCTGCAGTCCCCATCTGCGGCAATCTTGAAACACAGGAAAATAAAATCTGTCACTACCTCCATTTCTTCCCCATCAATTTGCCAGGAATTGAGAGGACCAGATGCCATGATCTTAGTTTTCTTAATGTTGAGTTTCAAGCCAACTTTTGCACTCTCCTCCTTCACCCGCATCAAGAGGCTCTTTAGTTCCTCTCCACTTTCTGCCATCTGCATATCTGAGGTTGTTGAGATTTCTCCCGGCAATCTTATATCGGCATTAAAAAGTTTTATTTCATAAACCTCTCGCTTTCCTCTTTCTCAACAGGGGGTTACTGGTACAACTGTTGCACGGACTCCAACCTGAACGGGGTTTACTATCGTAAGGATGAACATAACAAGAGCACCGATGGCATCACCTGGTACAGCTGGCGTGGGAAACTCTATTCGCTGAAGAGGGTCGAGATGAAGATCCGGTCAACGGACTTCAAGGCCTAGAGGGACTGAGTCGAGTAAAGAGATGGCCTCACCTCTAAAGGAGGGGGCACTGGAGGGGTGGGTGGGAGATAGGAAGGGGGAAGCACCATCATTGATGTCAAGAATGAGCTTACATATGGGGAATGCCCTTCATCGGTAGCAAGGCAGGTGCTCGCCTCTTTCAGCCTCAACCTGAACGTCTCTGGATCTTTCTGACGACAATGTTCTCTATCAGGATATTCACCTATTCCCCTGAATTAACGTAGATTTGCCTTTGTTTATTTCCCTGGTGGACTGGAATCTCGGGGAGGACTGGGAGGGAAGAAGCTACACCAGAGTTTTGCCAAACTTATTGCATAGTGGATTGCTCCACTTATGGAAATCGGATGCTTAGGATATATATATATATATTTTTGCAGTTGTAAATCAAAATAGTGCTCTATCCAAACACCTCTTTCCCATCCAGTAGTATAATAAAATCCTCTTGATTTTAAAACTGAAGTTTGAGGCCAAGTATATAGTCCTCGGGACAAAAATGTTTCCAGTCGAGGAGAATTTCTGGAAATGTCAACCAACACGGTGTGTGTGTGTGTGTGTGTGTGTGTGTGTGTGTGTGTGTGTGTGTGTCTAATCTGGTGTCAATGCTGTGAAGAATCTGAGGTTGCAAAGGAGTCATTTGGTTACTGGCAGAGGAGAGCTATAAATCTTTGCCACTCTTTCAGGGACAAAGAGACATTGAGACTGTCCTCCAGCCCCCCCAAAAAAGACCCCTGGATAATATCAGGTGGATATTTGGTTTCTGGCTCTGTCTACTTACTATGCATAGGGAAGGACAGAATTTAGCATGAATATTTTTTCACACGATATTGTTTCCTGTTTAAAAAAAAAAAGAAATCTCCACTTTCTTCCTTTAGACCAGTGTTGGCGAACTTTTTCGGTTTCAAGTGCCGAAAGGGGAGCCTGCGGTGTGCAGGGGACTACCGGAAACCGGAAGAATAGCTCCCTGGTGTGCACGCGTGCGGGAGCGCTGGAAACCGGAAGAGCAGTTCCCCAGCGCGTGCTGGGAAGCTGAGCTTCCAGTTACCGGTGTCTGCATGTGCGCCGGTCACCTGGACTTCCAGGTTCTAGCACGCATGTGCGCGTGAAGACTAGCCGGAGAGCATGCGCGTGCCGGAAACTGGAAGCTCAGCTTCCCGGCATGTACATGCGTGCCAGGGAGCTGCTCTTCTTGGTTTCGGGTGCTCCTGCAGCTGGCTGGCATGTGTACGCCGGAACCTGGAAGAGCAATGGGCAACGGCTGGTGTGCCCGGAGAGTGGTTCTGCGTGCCACTTCCGGCACGTGTGTGCCATAGAATAAGAATAAGAATAATTTTATTTCTATACCGCCCTTCTCCCGAAGGACTCAGGGCGGTGCACAGCCTATTAAAAGCACAAGACAAACATCAGTTAAAATAATTTAAAACTATTAAATAATTCGGCTCAATTTAAAACCCCAGAAATTTAAAACACCCAATTTAAAATTATTATGTTGATAGCCCGGCCTGGCAGAACAACAGGGTCTTGAGTGCACAGCGAAATACCCGGAGGTCGGAGATCTTACGCACTTCCGGGGGCAGTTCATTCCACAGGGCTGGGGCTCCCACAGAGAAGGCCCTCCCCCTGGGTGTCGCCAGCCGACATAACTTGGCCGATGGCACCCTGAGGAGACCCTCTCTGTGGGAGCGGACTGGCCGGTGGGAGGCTAGGTCTGCCATCATGGCTCTAGACAAATTTCCCCAAGTGAGAACCAGATGCAGGGGTTGCCGAGCCTAGGGGTGCCTCCAATCCTTGCTCTGGAATTGTCCGTGGTCAAAGGACTTCCAGAGAAGCATAGAGCTGCCTCCTCTGTCACACGGGCTTACCAACCGAGAGAGCAAAGGGGAAACAGCCTACCTGATAAGAGCCTCAAGGATGGCTGGCGTAGGCCCCTTCTGAAACTCCAGCTCTTTGTAGTGTAGCGCCTTGGCATAGGCTCGGCACTTGGCAGCCCGTTCTCCCAATAAGACGATGCCGTTATCGTCTCCCAATGGCAGCGGACCCTGCGTGGAGGAAGCCGGGCAAAAGCATCAGGGCTGGGATGGAGCGCAAGCCTCCAGGGCAATCTAGAGCAGGGGTCCCCAACCTGTGACTGGCCCGGAGTAGCTGGCCAATGCACGCACATGTCTGTACGCGCACAGCTCCGCTTCAGTGTCGCCACAAGCATCGTGAGCGCTCACCACCCCGCTTGCACGAGCCACGGATGTGCGCGCGTGCAAGCACACTCGCATGTGCCTGTCCCTCCCACGAAACCATCCCCTCCGCCCCCTGGTTGGGGAACTCGGATCTAGAGAACATTATGTAAGCAATTAAATGCAAGCTTATTCATGAGCCCTGGAGGCGCAGTGGTAATTATTATTATTAGCGTATGGCATTGTTCAGTAGCCAGGAGACCACAATGCTACTGCAGAGTCGTAGTTTGCCTTGCCAAGGTACCAACCCTATTATAGGAAATGTTTGCCTGCTTCTTAAGGTGCAGCACAGGAGGGCGAGCTGGCTTTGCACCAGAGAGAAAGACAAGCGGCTGTTCCAGCAGCATCACCACGCCCCCCCCCCCCCCACTTTCCTGGGGCTGCCTTGCAAACAGGCACCGCAACCGGGAAGGTTCAGAGCCACCCCAGGATCTGACTGCCTGCATAGAGCACCAGCTCGTCTCCCCACTGAAGTGGTACCTATCTATCTACTTGCATCGAACATGCTTTCGAATGTTTAGGTGGACAGTCGCTGAGGCAAGTGACAGGAGCTCACCCTGCCACTCAGTGCTAGGGCTCGAACCACTGGAGTCGAGACAATCTGCAGCATCATTAAGCCATTTGAGCCACCGCGCCGCTTGGTGTCGTGGTTAGAATGGCAATATTGCAGCCTCACTCTGCCCACCGCCCACAGTTCAATCCTGAGCCGCTCAAGGTTGACTTAGCTTTCCATCCTTCCGAGGTCAGTCAAACGAGGCCCCAGATTGTTGGGGCCAAGATGCTGACTCTGTAAACCGCTTAGGGAGGGCTGTAAAGCACCGCAAAGCGGTATATAAGTCTAAGCGCTATTGCTATTTCTGCACAATCAGCAAAGGTACCTGCCTCTTCATGAGATCAGAGCAAAAAGAAAGTCAAAAAACTTCCACCCCCAACGCGCTTTACCTTGTCGCTGTGCTCCATGAACTCAGCCAAATTGAGCAGGGTCTGGGTGACCTCAGCAATATCCTGAGACGTCAGCGCCAGCTCGATGCTACGGATCAGCTCATCCTGCTGGTCTTCGTTCAGCTCAGACCAGCATGAAACAAAGGCCGCGTTAAACAGATCTCTGAAGTGGGGGGAGGGAGCAAAAGGGGGATACAGAGAATGGAACAGTAAGTCTGCCAACATTGAACATACCACTTCACTGATCCAAACTGAACCCAGACCCACATCTCATTAAGAGCCCATAACTGCACAGGGGAGAATATAGAGACAATTGTCAAACATGGGAATTGACCAGCAACAAGAAAATCTTCATTCTCAAACTACCCCTTAATATTCTTTCAGCATTCAAACAACCTTTTTTCTGTCCAATTTGATATCCTCAGTGAATGTTTTATTGATGGTACGTCACCTACTCCCTCTTGCTTTCAAGCACTGATTCATAACTCACTATTCTTCATTCCATTTTTCCCATCAAGCACAAATACTTACCCTTGGATATGTTAACCTTCAAATGCACAGCATACAAACGATTTAACCTTTTCTGCAAAACATTTAGTTTCTCAACCAAACACCCAGGACCATCGGACTCCAAAAGTTCACATCCCAATTGTCTAGAGCAGGGGTCGGCAACCTTAAAACACTCAAGAGAGCTATTTGGACCAGTTTCCCACAGAAAAGAAAACATCGGGAGCCACAAAACTCTTCCCGTGCCTGACTATTTCCTGAGCGGCCACAAAACTAGCATATATAGTATGCTGTTTTCTTCTGAAACTTCTCTTTTCTTGGATTTATCCATGGTTGGCCTACCGGGGATCGAAAAGCTTAACAAATTGCGCGTCGGTGGGTGTCGCACATTGGCAGTTGTGACACATATTTTGAGCGATAGGGAGCCGCAGCAGAGGGATGAAAGAGCCACATGTGGCTCCAGAGCCGCGGGTTGCTGATCCCTGGTCTAGCGAGATTTCTTAGTCATCCAGGTCATGGTTTTCCCAAAGATGCTTTTACTCCAAGAGGCAACTGGACTTTCTTGTGGAATGCAGGTGAAGAGGGAAGTCACGGCAATGACCTGGTGGCAACAATATGTTCGGCTGGAGCGTCGTCGGCTTTGATCGCAGCAGTCACGAACACGAGGCCGATAGCGGCGTTCTCCTGCCACCCACACAGCTGACTGGCAGATCTCCGAAGCCCAGCTGATTGGCGGTCGGAGACCAGATGGAGGCCGGAAGCGCAGGCACCCGATGGTGGACTGCTGATGAGAAACCAAATGCTGACGCCAGATGCTACTAGGTGGGACGGGGCGTGGTCTTGCCTATATATATATATAGGGCACTGGGAGGCAGTTGCTCCCAGCGCTGACTTTGCAACTGTCAAAACTCATTTGTGTCAGGCCTCAGGTTTGAATAAACAAGTACCAACCATTTCCAGAGCTTGTTCGTTTCTGGCGTTCGTAAGGCCTGGGGACTGGACACCTGAGAGTTGTCAGTGAAAGAGTTGATACCGCTGACAATTGATCTGAGTGGAGTTCCATCTTTGTGGATTTTGGGAAGTCCACAAGGAAGTCCAGTTGACTCGCGCTCCAAACCAAAACACTTCTACTATCACACACACACTTCCCTTAAACATTTTTTTTTAACACTTGCATTAAACAACCAAGTGGACACTTCTTGGTCTTCTCCCTGGATTGATGTTGAATTTCTACCTGGCCATGGGGTTGTAGGCCTGAGCCAAGGCCCAGCAGGAGCGCAGTGAGGGCGATGAGGAGTCTTTCAACAGTTCCAGGCTCAGCCGCCTCAACCATTCCAACCAATCATCCTTGGAAACTCTTCGGGCTGCACCCCAGGCCTAGAATATAAAGGGCTCTTCTATGGGTTGCTGCAATCAGCTACTCATCAGGGCCAGAAAAACTGACAGCACGGGGGGGGCCACGGGGCCCCAACTCCTGAAAGCCCCCTCCCTCCCCAAAAAATCATGTTGCTGAAATTCAGTGAAAAATGTCTGGCGTTTAATGGGCTGCTTTGTGATGGCACAAAAAGTTGGAAGATGGTCACACAACCGTACGTATGGGTATCTCAAGCTCACCTACTTGAAGGTGTATGGACTTCAATTCCCAGAATTCCCCAGCCAGTTCTCAGTCCTATCCAGCCAAGCATTCTGGTTCTCATATTGAATAACTGGATGAATTTGAATTTCACAAGCTTGCACTGATTTATTTATTTATTTATTTTATTAAATTTCTATACCGCCC